AGTGCTCCTCTCCCCCCCGCTGTGACCGCACTCTCTCCATAGGGCCACAGCGGCTCTGTCTCCTGCCTGGACTTCAGCAGCAGCGGCAAGTACCTGGCGTCATGCGCTGACGACCGCACGGTCCGACTGTGGAGCACCCGGGACTTCACGGCGCGCGAACACCGCTGTCTGCGTGCCAACGTGGGGCTGGACCATGCCGAGCTTGTCCGCCTCAGCCCCGATTCACGGTAGGGTGTGGGCCTCCCCACACCTCACCCACCCCCAGCCCAGGGACTGCTTGGGGTGTATTGGCACCAGGACGTCCTGTGGACTGGGCTGCACAGGGGCTACATCCCTCATAGGGTCTTGACAGCACCACTCGTTCATGAAAGCAGCAGGCACTTTAATGTAGTGCTCAGGGCAAATATCCCAGTGCCCAGCTTGCAGACCCCCATGGAAGGTGCTTGTTAAGGTCTTTGCCAGGAGGCCCTGTGGCTGGGGTGAGCTGCTGAGCCTCTCTAGGGAGAGAGCTCTTGCTGGCTGGGAAGGGTGGTTGAAAAGCATGCCTTGGCACTTTGTGAAGTGGCCTCTTAGAGAGAGGAATGGATCTTGTTTCTAGATGTAGAGTAATAAATTCTGTTCTTTTCCATTCAGTGTTGCGGTTGAGCTACCAGGGAGAGAACCTGGTGCCCTTGTAAAGCACACAGCTTCTTATCTGCCAGTGTATCCCTTTCCCCAGATGCCACTGAGTGACCTGTTAGCTTACCTGTTAGCTTACCTGTTGTAGCTAGGCTGAGCTGAGGTAGCCTGTTTCTTAACGGTTCAGAGTGTTTGTCCTTCCACTTAGGGCATTCATTGTTTGGCTGGCGAATGGTGAGACTATTCGTGTCTATAAAATGACTCAGAAGGATGATGGCAGCTTCACCTTCACTGCAACTTCTGGGGACTTCCCAAAGAAGCATAAGGCTCCTGTCATTAACATAGGAATTGCAGAGACAGGTACGGAAATGACAGAGCTGCTCACTTGTTGAGGCTCTCAGTACTGCCTTTGATGTCCTTGTAAAGCAAGAGCTGCTGGCTTGAAAGTGTTGGAGTTTTTGGCATTCTCAAGGCCTGTTTCTGCACCAGTACTTGATTCTCTGTAGTCTCTTAGATGTTACTTTTTAGCCTTTGTTTACTACTGAGTGAACTTAAAGATGTCATTTTCGGACAGACGATATTCCTGCAAGCACGGAATTAGCACCCTGATATGCAGTCTCTTAATTTACGTTTTCAGAGATGCTGTTGCAAAGAGGTGTGGTCTCAATATTGAGAGGATCGCTGTTCTCTGGCCCACTGGTCTGTCTTTAACCAGTCAAAAATCTCCTTAGTGAGTTCATATGGTCTATCTTGGACTGCTGGGATCTTCTATAACAGAGGCAGGGGTGGGTATGTGGTAGTGGTGAGAGCCTGATGGATTAGTGCTTCAGGTATGCGACAGCGGGCAGTTGGAAGTGGGTGGACATGAGTTCACCTCTGTAATCAGAGAGCAGAGAAAATGTTAACTGAGACCTTTGTTCAGTGTGAAAGTGAAAACTGAAACCTGCAACAAGCAGCTGAAAGGTAAACGGGCAACTCCTTGTCCAGGCTGAGATGAAAAAGGGAAGGCATTGCAAGAGTGGAAACAAGTAGGAGTCCAAAACAGCTGACACAAACAGTAATCATGGATAATAGTAGTGTGACTTGTAGTCAGCTACCTACCCATAGTCCATGACTTGAAAGTTACAGATACCTTGAATTGTGTTTTAACCATCTGGGGAAGATCGAGTCTGCTGCATTACTCCTGTGGTACCAGCTTAGTGCTAAGCTCTGCAAGTGGGATCGAGGGGTGCTGGGGCGAGATGCACGTGAGGTCTCTGCGTGCCCATTGCCAGCTGATGGCTGCTGAAGCCAAGGGTGCACTAATGTACAACCAGGAGCCGAGTCTTCTGATGCTGCTCTTTGCGCTGTCCCGTGAGATTGACACTCCTTGAATTTTGGTGCTGCTTTTGGTTTTCTTGACTGTCCAGGTGCAGGGAGAGGTTGCCCTGCGTAGGGACCCTACCAGGCCTTTGATAAGTCTGTAGCAGCATTAGGCCTGGGAACTCTACTGATCTTTGCCTTTTTCCCTCAGGAAAGTTTATCATGACAGCTTCCAGTGACACTACTATCCTGATATGGAGCCCAAAGGGTGAAGTCCTGGCCAGCATTAACACTAACCAGATGAACAATGCCTATGCTACGGTGTCGCCCTGCGGAAGGTGAGGGGCATGAGGTGTTCTAGGCTGCTCCTGCTGCAGAGTGGGAGTCCGCAGGAGTGAACAGGAACCTCACCTCTTCCCAGAGGACATCATCAGTTCAGACCATTGGCAGTTAGCTGTTATTTTAATGCAATTTTCTAAGGGTTCCACATCTTAAAAAGCAATTCTGGCCCCCGAGAGCAGCCCCTCCAGGAGCCCTGACTCTTGCCTGCGTAGCCTCAGACACTTGGTGGGTTACTGTTGTGCCTCAGCACTGCTGTTGCTGTTAACTGTCTCCTGAAGAGCTGAGGAGAACAGCATTGGCCTCAGATAGTGGAGGTGGGACAATGCAAAAGGTGTATGCAAAGCAAACAGCATTTCTAACTTGTTTTTAACCTTTAACCTTTAAAAGGTTAAAAACAAAATCTTTATTACCGAGAGATTGTCTATCAGGAAAATAGCATTCTCTGCTCTGTCTCTAACTTGTTGCTGCAGGAAGACTTGCCATGCTCCAAGCTCAGTGAGTTTGGGGATCAAAAGCACTTAGCTTTTTTTATTTTGGCCTGGGAGTTTCTCATGCCTAAGTTGTGGAGTTGCTGCTCTGGTCCGTGGTGGCCTTCCTTAGTGTTCTCTTTACCAGCCTGGTTTCAGAGAAAAGTGAAAACTTTTTCATCTGACCAAGGATTTGAACATGGGTGTCTGGATAGGTTTGCCTTCACACAGCCCTGTCTTAGCCACCCCTCCACACAGGAGGGCTGCCCCTGGCCCCTGCCTCCCTCAGGAGGCCAGAGGAGAGCTCTGTAGGGCTGGCCCCACAGCCCAGATGAAGTAGGTGGTCTGTAACAGATACCATGTGTCTTTCACCCAGGTTTGTGGCATCCTGTGGCTTTACCCCTGATGTAAAGGTGTGGGAGGTGTGTTTTAGCAAGAATGGAGGCTTCCGGGAGGTGGCCAGGGCTTTTGAGTTGAAAGGCCACGCTGCTGGTGTGCATTCCTTCTCCTTCTCTAACGACTCAAGGAGGTAAGTGTGTGTGATCCGCTGCCTGAAATAGTACACTCTGGCTCACCCTTGGGACACATGAGCTCACCGCTTCCAGTGTACGCCAGCAGCCTGTGCAGGGGGGGCTGCACCCCCATGACCTGTGGGGAATGCTGCCCTGCATGCTCTCCTGGGAGCCCAGGGCAGCAAAACCCTGAGTGGCTCATGCCACCTGTGTATTCTCCATGGATTTCCTCCTGGGGGTGACTGCTATCTGTGCTCTGGAAAGCGGATGAGGACCGTATGTGTGTACAAACTCACACATCCCAAAAGAGCTCTCTGGCCACAAAGGATTCCTGGTTCACAGGTGTGGCAGGGGAAGAGGTGCTGCCTGATTTCCTTGCACTCACCTGTGCTCTGTCTCCTGGCTGCAGGATGGCGACTGTTTCGAAGGACGGGACATGGAAGTTCTGGGACACAGATGTGGAATATAAGAAGCAACAGGATCCATACCTGCTTCTGACAGGGAAGTGCAAGGTGACAGAGCCTTGTCACATAGCCCTGTCCCCCGATGCTCATGTTGTTGCCATCTCTAGTGGCACAGACATTGTTGTGTACAACACGAGAAGAGGAGAGGAGGAGGAGCGCTTTCTCGGTGTGCATGGACAGTGCATAACAGACTTGGCTTTTGATACCAACAGCCGCTACCTGGTGTCGTGTGGGGACCGGGCCATCCGTGTCTTCCACAACACTGCCGGTCACAGGGCAGTGGTGGAGGAGATGGAGACCATGCTGAAAAAAACTGCGAACAAAGCCACCCGAGAGAGGCTGGAGCAGCAGATCTCCAGTGCCCGCAAAGCACTGGCCGCAATCTACGGCAAGAAGAGCTAATCCTCCCCCCACAGTGGCATGTTGTGGCTTTCTATGGTCGCAGGCAGTCGTGTTCTGCCTTTAGGGACTGAACAACTTGTAATAAAAGAGCACACAGACAGCGTGCCCAGGGCCTTCCTCGCATGCTTTCTGACTGTAGCGATGGAGGGCTGGATGGCACATCTGCCTGGGGAAGGTGGAGGGCAATGGAGGGGTCCCTGGGGTGACACTTGTTTCCTTCCAAGGGCTTGTCGCATCCCACCCACTGTCTCATCGATCCCATGGGAGCGATTGCTCAGACAGGGCTAGTGAGGTTTTCTGGGCTTAGAAAC